ACGATTTGCATGACTCAGATTTCAAACCAGTCACCACTGAGTTGACCCCAACTCCTGGCTACACCATGTGTATCAGATGAAAACTGTACTCCATAGAGTTTTCAATGGTTAATTTTGGTAGAAGTATGGGATCATCAGACATCTGGGTGCACTTGAACCTCCCACCTTTTGGTTAGCAGCCGGGCATATTAATTGTTTGCACCACTCAGGGACTCTGAAGTTTAAAGTTAGTGGCTTCTCATGCGCCTTGTAGCACATACTCAGGATGAATGGCAGCGATGTGTATGAGGGGAAGTGCTGGGGACTGATGCTGGGACTATGCAGAGCAGCAACGGGTCTTCAAAGAACAGAGCGAGATGCTCAGCACTCTCTGCACTCAGTTTACTGCCTTCTTCTGGAAGGCCATTGCCATCCATGACTGCTGTCCTTAGTCCTGACCTTCCCCTGGTCTCCTGGACACCCACTGATGCTGGGTACTGCTATATGAGCACATTCTACTCATCCTCAAAGTCCTGCCACATGTCTTCTTTCCATTTATTTTTAACTCACTTTCACCTATGGATCACAACTCTATTCTGATTTTTGTTGTTTATTGTTGTTAGTTGCCGTAGAGTTGACTCTGCCTCTTGCCAACCCTCGTGTCCAACAGAATGAATCATTGCCTCATTGTGCACCATCTTCAAGGTCTTTGATACTTTGAGCCCAAAGTTGTAGCTCTTGTCAATCCATCTCCCTTGGTTTTGCTAACTCTTTGCAAACATGGTGTCCTTTCTTAGCGATTGGTCTATCCAAACTAAGTGAGCCGAAGTCTCATCATCCTTACTTCTAAGGAGAGCACTGGCTTCGTTTCTTGTAGCACTGATATCCCACACGTCTGTCAGTTTGTTGTACTGTGGTGGCTTGGGTCTTACTGTGATGATAGAGGTTATGCCACAGGTGTTCCAAGGCCCCTGTCCACCTATAGTTTCAGTGGAGCTTTCAGACTAAGAACAACTAAGCAAACCAACGGCCCTACAGTTTATCCCAACTGATAGCAACCCTGTATAGGCTTTCTGAGGCTGTAAACCTTTACAGGAGCAGAAAGTCTCATCTTTCCCCCTTGGAGCAGCTGGTGGGTTTGAACTGCAATCCAGTGCTTATTGTACAATACCACCAGGACTAGGAATAAGAAATAGGTGGTCCCTTATGAGGGATTAACCACTGAAAACGTTATGACTAGCAGGAGAACATAGTCTGATATCGTGCCAGAAGATGAGCTTTTCATGTTGGAAGACACTCAAAATATGACCGAGGAAGAGCTGCCTCCTCAAAGTGCAGTCAACCTTAGTGATGTGGATGGAGTCAAATTTTGGGGACCTTCATTTGCTGATGGAGTATGACTCAAAATGAGAAGAAAGAGCTGTAAACATCTGTTAATAATTGGAATGTGGAATACACAAAATAGGAACCTGGAAAAATTGGAAGTCGTCAAAACTTAATTGGAACACATAAAAATCGATATCTTAGGCCTTCATAAGCTGAAATGGACAGGTACTGGCCATAATGAATCGGACAATCATATGCTGGGAATAACAAATTCAAGAGGAATGGTGTTGCATTCACTGTCAAAAAGAACATTTCAAGATTTATCTTGAAGCACAATGTTATCTGTGATAGGATAGTATCCATATGCCTATAAAGAAAACCAATTAATACATTATTATTCAAATGTATGCACCAGCCACTGAAACCAATGATGAAGAATGCTACCGATTTCTTTAATCTGAAACTGACCAAACATACAATCAAGATGCATTAATAATTGCTAATGATTTGAATGCAAAAGCTGGAAACAGAGGAAGAATCAGTAGTTGGAAAATATGGCTTTGGTGATAGATATGACGCTGGAGATTGCATGATAAAATTTATAAGATCAATGACTTCCTCTTGGCAAATACCTCTTTTCAATGACATATACAATGACTATACACATGGACCTCACCAGATGGAATACACAGGAACCAAATTGACTACATCTGCGGAAAGAGAAAGGTGGAAAAGCTCCATACTCTCCTCCATACTCAGTATGTGAGTCTCCATACTCACAGGACAGACTGTGGAACAGAACACCAATTGCTTGCATGCAAGTTCAGGCTAATGCTGAAGAAAAGTTTAAAAAGTCCACAAAAGCCAAAATATAACCTTGAACATACCCTACCTAAATTTAGAGACCATCTCAAGAACAGATTTGACGTATTGAACATTAACGACCGAAAACCAGAGTAGTTGTGGATGACTTCAAGCACACCATGCGTGAATAACCCAAAAGATCATTTAACAACAACAACAACAACAACAAAAAACAGGCAAGAAGGTAAAGACCGAAATGGATGTCATAAGAGACTCTGAAACTTGCTTTTCAATGTAGCAGTAGCTAGAGCAGATGGAAGAAATGAAGAGATAAAAGAACTGAGCAGAAAATTTCATAGGGCAGCTAGAGAAGACAAAGTAAAGTATTACAATGAAGTGTGCAAAGATCTGTAGTTAGAAAACTAAAAGGAAAGAACACACTCAGTATTTCTCAAGCTGAAATAACTAAAGAAAAAAAAAATCAAGCCTCAAGTTGTAATATTGAAGGATTCTATGGGCAAAACAGGAGACTGATGCTTCTGTAGGGTAAACACTGGACTGTGAACCACAAGGCTGGCGATTCCTGCCCACCAGCACTCCATAGGAGAAAGACGAGGCTTTTTGCTTCCTCAAAGATTTGAAGCCTTGGACACTCTATACAGGGTTATTGTGAGTCGGAACTGACTTGAGGACACTTTACAACAGCAACGATGGACATAATAATATTGAATGTCGCAATCCGTCTCAACCAAATCATAGCTCCTCATGGGGGATGGTTGTGTCATTACATCACTGCAAACCACGGAGAATCATGGCTCTGCCAAGGTGATTTATTTTGGGGAACATATTTCAATTCACGATAACACTTTTCATAAGTTCTAATTCTACGTGTAGTATTTACAAGACACAAATGGTTAAGCACTCCTCTACTAGTTGAAAGGTTGGAGGTTCAAATCTACCCATAGGTACCTTGGAAGGCAGGCTTGGCAATCTGTTCTCAAAAGGGCTCAACCTGGAAAAAACTATGGAATAGTTCCAATCTATACACATGGGCTCTCCATGAGTTGGAAATGATTTTATGGCCACTAACACATCATCACTAAGGAGCTCTGGTAGTGTAGTGGTTACGAATCAGGCTGTGAACCACAAAGGCAGCAGTTTGAAACTACCAGCTGTTCCACAGGAGAAAGATGAGGCTTTCTGCTCCCATAAAGAGTTATAGCCTCGGAAACCCTGTACAGGGTCGCTATGAGTCGGAACTGACTCCATGGCACACAGCCAGCCAAAACATCCTCACTGTCTCAGTCTATCTGTTTACAGTGTCTGTCTGTCTATCTCCCTTGATAGACCATGAGCTCTGGGAAGGTGGGGACCTCATCTATCAGCATCACCAGTCTAGCTGCAAGGGCAGCTCCATGCTGGACTCAGTAAATATTTGTTGGATGAATTAATAAAATAATGATGAATGAGCAGCAGGGAAGGACAGTTCCTGAAAGGTCCAGGGCTGGTAATGCCATACTAGTCTCTTTCTAAAACCACATGTCTTGCTGGTTCATTTCAGAAGAGGAAGTCTTCTTGGTCACAAAATAGTCTCATTTGCTCTCAGGAACACTCCCCTGGTCTGTGGACATTCTAATGACACGAGGATCCTTTGCCTTGTTGTGGTCACTCAGAAGAAACAGGGCTTGGTTGTTAGATAAGGCGGTGGTGTTGTTGTTAAGTGCCAAGAGACACTAAACATAACAGAACAAAGCACTGCCTAGTCCTGTGTCAGCCTCACAATTGTTGCTGTTTGAGCAAACTGATGTAGTCACTGTGTCTGTCCATCTTGTTGGAGGTCTTCCTCTTTTTCATTGACCTTCTACTTTACCAAGCATGATGTCTGTCTTCAGGAATTGGTCCCTCCAATCACATGTCCAAAATACATGCAATAAACTCTTGCCATCTGGCTCCTAAGGGGCATTCTGTCTGTACTTTTTCCAAGACAGATTTGTTCATTGTTCTGGTAGTATGTTGTTTTGATGGTGGTGGTTGTTCAGTGCCGTCGAGCCACTTCTGATCATAACAACCCTGTTTAGGGTTTCTGAGGAGTGGGTGGTGAGCTTGAACTGCTGACTTCATGATTGAAACCGACTTTCAGTCCAGCACATTATCCTGCAGTTCCACATCAGGACTTCAGGTAGCATTGTTAAGGGTCATCAAGTAGTTTCCGACCCATAGCGACCTTGCGTAGGATTTCCAAGGAGTGACTGGTAAGTTTGAACCACCAACCTTGTGGTTCAAACCGACTTTGCAGTCCAATGCATTAATCCACAGGTGGTATAGTATCCAGTAATCTTCGCCAACACTATAATTCAAAGGCATCAATTATTCTTTGGTTATCTTTATTCATTTTCCAGCTTTTGCACACATATGTTGTTGTTGTTGTTAAGTGCTGTTGAGTCGGTTCTGACCCATAGTGACCCTGTACAGGGTTTCCAAGGGTGTAAATCCTTATGGGAGTAGAAAGCCTCATCTTTCTCCCGCGGAGCGGCTGGTAGTTTCGAATCGCTGACCTTAAGGTTCGCAGCCCGATTCGTAACCACTACGCTACCAGAGCTCCGTCTGAGGTGGTTGGAAATACCATAGTTTGGGTCAGGCACGCGTTAATCTTTATAGTGACATCTTTGCTTTTTACTACTTTAGAGGATCAGTGATACCAGCAGTTAAGCAATCATTAAGAAACCCAGTAAAGCCCCACCCCCTTTATCTCTTAAGCAAAACTTCTGCTCTCTTTAGTCAAATGACAGTCATCTTCATACGACAAAGGGTCAAACATTAACTTAGCAAACAGATTAGGAGGCAGAGGACCTTTGGAAGAATGACACTTCCAGCAGTCAGTGCGAGGCACCATGGCCGCAGGGCTGCAGGGTGTGGGTCCACTCCTGCTGGCCTTGATGCTATGTGTGCTTGGCCCTCTGGGGTCTTGGGGCGGGAAGCTGCTAGTGGTCCCATTGGACGGCAGCCACTGGCTCAGCATGGTCTCCACCATCCAGCAGCTTCACCAGAGGGGACATGAAGCAGTTGTGGTGACTCCCGATTCATCTGTGTACATCAAGGAAAGAACGTTTTACACCTTGAAGAGGTACCCTGTTCCCTTCAAGAGGAAGGATGTGGAAGCAACATTTGTCAGTCTTGGCCGTAGTGCTTTTGACCAAGATCCCTTTTGGCTGATGGTGATCAAAACATACAAGAGAGTCCAAAGTCACTCTGCTATGATGGTGTCTTCCTGCTCCAACTTAGTCCACAACAAGGAGCTCTTGGCCTCCCTGGAAGCTGGTGGCTTTGACGCTGTGTTGACGGACCCTTTCCTTCCTTGTGGCTCCATTGTGGCTCAGTACCTGTCTCTGCCTGCGGTGTACTTCTTGAATGGACTGCCATGCAGCTTGGACTTTGCTGGTACCCAGTGTCCCAACCCACCATCCTATGTGCCCAGGTCTATGTCTTCGCTCTCAGATCACATGACTTTTCTGCAGCGAGTGAGGAACATGCTTATCACTGCCACTGAATTCTTTATGTGCAATCTAGTTTATTCACCATATGCATTACTTGCCTCTGAAGTCCTTCAAAGAGATGTGACCATCCAGGACCTTATGAGTTTTGGATCTGTCTGGCTGCTCAGACGTGACTTTGTCAAGGATCATCCCAGGCCTACCATGCCCAACATAGTATATATTGGTGGGATCAACTGTGCTTCCAAATCACCACTCTCCCAGGTGTGTATGTGAACGGAAGCTCTACGTGCTTATGTTCTTGCAAGTTCTTTTGGATAGATGAACTTGCCACAGATATATGCTGAGATTAATTTCTAATGCCTTCTTTGGTTAATCTACTGCAAGTCTCCTAGGTCTGAGTTATACTATTTGACATTTGATATCATCTTCTGGGTTATTTCCTTGTATCTGATGTGTGAGGAAAAATATGTTATCGTTTTTGTTGTTAGTTGCCATTGTTTGATTGTGATTCCTGGTGTCCTCATCCACACAGAGTAGAACTGTGCTCCCTAGGGTGTTCAAGACTGTGACCTTTTGGAATTAGATTGTCAGGCTTGTTTAAGCCAACTCTGGGTGGGTTTGAACCACTAACCTTTCGGCTAGTAGTTGAGTGCTTAACAATTTGGGCAGGCATTCTGTTCAGTGGGCTCCAGTGGATAGGAATCAGTTAGATACAGCACATGCTGAATGCTCTAAGTACAGAGCATCGTGCAGAGAACAAAGATGAGTGGTTCAAACCTTTACCTTGAGCAGGCATTTGACCTTGGTTAGACCAGGCATGTATGATTCAAGACAGATTAAGGAATTTCTTGGTATCTACAGAGCCCGGCAGGGAGAGCTGCCTTTGTGGTCCTAACTAATGCTCCACGTTTTGGATGTTTTGATGGGAAGATAGATCTTGTTGTCCCTCCACTTCTAATAAGTTAACAACTAGATAGACTTTGAAATCAGGCAGAAAGGGCATGCCTCTTATTCCTTGAGGTATACAGGCACATCCTCTTCTAAACCTCAGCAGGTGATAAGAATGGCAAGAAGTACTTTTAGATGGCAGTGGGCAGGGAAGGTTTCCTTGAGGGGTGACATTCCAGGGAACAATGATTAATTTACTCACCAGATACTGATTGTCTGTTGACTAGTCCGGATGCTTCTAGGTGCTGAGTCTGGCTCCTACTAAGGGACTATTTATCACTCATGGAAGGTAATGAATTTTAATTCCCATTGTTCTTCCAACATGATTTCTGTTTTAAACAGTCATGTAATTTCATGGCAAGGAGAAATTTTGGGTGGCAGGAAGAGCACAAAGTGAGAAACCAAGTCCCAAAGTTGATACCTCCACCCCATTACCATGTATCTTAGTTTGCTAGTGTCGTTATTAACAACAGAAGGACCACAAATAGATGCTTTAATGACAGAAATTGATTTTCTTACAATTTAGAAGGTTAGAAGTTAGAACTCAGGGCAACAACCCTAGGGGGAAAGCGCTCTCTCTGTCCACTCTGGGAAAGATACTAGTTTCAGCTTACGAGGAAGACACTTTTCTCAGCTTCTGCAATCCCAGCATTCCTTGGGTCCTTGACGACCTCCATGTGGGCAACTATCTATGTGTGCTTTCTTCCTTTTGTGCCTATTTTGCTCTTCTTAGGTCTCAAAAGTGGTTAGGTTTAAGACAAAACAAACACCGATATGGCCTCATTAACATAATACAAATCCTGCACCCAAGTGGAATTATATTAAAAATTAGAGAGATTATTTGGTGGCGTAAATCACAATTCAATCTGTAATACTGTGTTACCACAATTTCTCCTGTCTCACTCTGAGGGACTTTGATACTTCCTGTGTAACATAGATAATGGTTGGGGCTCCTGGTTTTGGGATTCTGTTGGATGGATTGTATTTGACCGGAGGCTCTGGCTAAAAAAAGAATGTTGTTGTTGTTGTAATTAGGTGCCATCAAGTAGGTACTGATCCATAGCAACCTTATGCACAGCAGAATGAAACAATGCCTGATCCTGGGCCAACCTCACTGTTGTTGCCATGCTTAAGTCCATTGATGCTGCCACTTGGCCAATCCATCTCGTTGGGGGTCTTCCTCTCTTTCTCTGACCCTCCATCTTACCAAACATGATATCCTTCTCCAGAGACTGCTCCCTCCTGACAATATGTCCTAAGTATGAGAGACAAAGTTTGGTCATCTTGGCCTCTAAGGAGCACTCTGGCTGTACTTCTTCCAAAATGGATCTATTGGTTCTTTTGGCAGCCCATGGCACTTTCAATATTCTCCTCCAACACCATAACTGAAAGGCATCAATTCTTCTATGGTCTTCCTTATTCACTGTCCAGCTTTTGCATGCATATGAAATTATTGAAAATACCATGGTTTGGGTCAGGCGCACCTTACTCCTCAAGCTGACATCTTTGCTCTTCAACACTTTAAAAAAAGGTCTTGTGCAACAGATTTGCCTAATGTAATATGTCGTTTGATCTCTTGACTGCTGCTTCCATGAGTGTTGATAGTTGATCCAAGAATAATGAAGTCCTTGATGACTTCGATCTTTTCTCCATCGATAAGAATGTTGTTTATTGGTCCAGTGGTGAGGATTTTTGTTTTCATCACATTAAGATGTAATCCATACCGAAGGCTGTGCTCTTTCATCTTCATCAGTAAATGTTTTAAGTCCTCTTCTCTTTCAGCAAACAAGGCTGTATCATCTGCATATCACAGGTTGTTAATGAGTCTTCCTCCAATCCTGATGGCACATTTTTCTTCATAGAACCCACCTTCTCGGGTGATTTGCTCAGCATACAGGTTGAATAAATATGGTGAAAGAATACAACTTTGTCGCACACCTTTCTTAATTTTAAACCATTCAGTGTCCCCATGTTCTGTTTGAACAACTGCTTCTTGGTCCACGTATAGATTCCTCATGAGCACCATTAATTGTTCCGGAATACTCATACTTCTCAATGTTGTCCATAGCTTGTCATGATCCACACAATTGAAAGCCTTTGCATAGTCAATGAAGCACAGGTAAACATCTTTCTTATATTCTCTGCTTTCAGCCAAGATCCATCAGACATCAGCAATGATATCCCTCGTTCCATGGCCCCTTCTGAATCCAGCTTGAACCTCTGGAAGTTCTCTGTCAATGTATGATTGTAGCCATTTCTGTATTACCTTTAGCAAAACTTTACTTGCATGAGATATCAAAGAGACTGTCCAATGATTTCTGCATTCCGTTGGGTCACCTCTCTTTGTAATGGGCACAAATATGGATCTCTTCCAATCAGTTGGCCAGATAGTTGTCTTTCAAATTTCTTGGCAGAGATGAATGAGTGCCTCCTGTGCTGCTTCACTTTCTTGAAAGATTTCAATTTCTATTGCATCAATTCCTGGTGCCTTGTTCTTTGCCAATTCCTTCAATGCACCTTAGACTTCCTCCCTAAGTATCATTGGCCCTTGATCATATGCTACCTCTTGAATCGGTCGAACATTAAGCATTTCCTTTTGGTACAGTGACTCTGTGTATTCCTTCCATCTTCTCTTGATGCTTTCTGCATCATTCAATAATTATCCCAGACCATCTTTCAATAGCGAAAGTCAAGGCTTGATATTTGTCTTCAGTTCCCCCAGCTTGAGAAATGCTGAGTGTGTTCTTCCTTTTTGGTTTTCTTATTCCAGATCTTTGCGCATTTTATTGTAATATTTAAGAAAGATTTTATCAAGATGGTGGATTGGGTAGACGTGCAGTGAGGAGCTTCATCAGCAACAACACAGAATACTGGGCCAAGCAGGCTCAGGGGATGGTGCTAGAACTCTGAACCACATATATAGGAATATTTAGAAGATTGGAAGAAAGACTGAGGTGTCATTAATTATTAAAAGTGAAATGAGAAAACATAACAACAGAAATAAACCATTCATGATTCTCTTTTAGAGAAAGGAAAAGAACAGATGAAATAATACCAAACCAATGAGCAAATCTCAGATCTAAATGGAGAGATTTAGTCAGCATCTCCAAATTAGAGAAATACAAAAGCAAAGGGTTTGGGCATTGTTGTGAAGGATTAGGATGAGGTTGGGGGTGGGCAGGGGCGGAAATCAAGAAAACACAATGGTTTTTCACGTTCATTTGAAATTTAAGACTTTGAAGACACAGACTCATTTTGATACAAATACAAGGTGTTTTCTATAAACCTGCATGGACTAGATCTAATCCCACTGGCTTCCTGTCTGTTTCTGGTGTATTTCAAAATCTCTTCCAGTTCAAGACCATTGGGTGTGTGGTTTCCTCTTTTTAGGATGCTCTTTCCTGAATTTGTTGCTTGTGTGTGTTCTTAATTTTCAGATCTTAGAGTAAATGTTACTCTTGGAACATCTCTTTGAGATGTGTCAATAAGGGTACATTTCAGAGATTTGAGTCTGGCTGCATACAGGATGCTGTGAGAGTAGAAGTAGTATGATTTATTAATAAATACATTGGTAGCTTAATCAGAGGAGAGAATGGTTACAATTGGGACCTGAATTAGTAGCCTAAGCAGTGAAGTCGAAGAAATCATTCACAATCTAGAACAAAAATTAAGAAACAGAAAACAGAGAAAAGAGATAAAAGATTTGGAGAATAGATTTTAGAGATCTCATATGTGAATTATAGGGATTATCAGAAGGAGAAGTATGCAGAAAAGACAATAACTAAACAGAGAAAGAAATTTCCCATAGCTATAAAAAGAATCAAGTCTGAATATTGGAATGACTCAAATAAACCCCAGGAAAGATATGCTATAGTACGAAAGGGCTTCAAAAAGTTCAGGGAAAAAAACTAAATGAAAAGATAATAGAAGTTTTCTATGAACTTTTTGAAGCCCCCATCTAGATATTGTTGTTGAATTGATTCCAATTCACGGTGATCCCATGTGTGCAGAGTAGAATGACCCCACTGAGTTTTCAAGGTTATGACATTTTAAAAGCAGGTCACCAGGCCTGTCCTCCAAAGTGCCTCTGAATGGGCTCGAGACATCAACCACTTGGCTATACTTGTTGTTTTTAGGTGCCATTGAGTTGGTACTGACCCATAGCGATCTATGCACAACAGAACAAAACACTGCCCGATCCTGGGCCAACCTCACAATTATTACCATGCTTAAGCCCATTGATGCTGCCACTTGCCAATCCATCTCACTGGGGATCTTCCTCTTTTTCTCTGATTCTCCACTTTACCAAGCAT